AAAAAAAAATTCTGTAGATGAAAAACATGTTACTATGATTCAAAGGTCTCAATGGGTTGGGTCGGACTGATTTGGTATTCCGACGAGTCGATTTCTGAATAAAATATAAACTTATTAGAAGATGTTGCGTTTTTCTACGAAGTTTCTTTTTCTAAAATCTCATGTAATTCTTCAATTGACTAAAATATTTCTTCAATAAACAGCAAATATATAAAGCATAACAAAGAAAAAGATAAAATTGCTGCCACCTTAGAAAAGTTTTCTTTACATTGAAGAAAATTTTTTCTGTCTAGCTCTTCTTGTTCATCATGAATTACTTGTTCTAATTCTAATTTCAATACTATTCTCATTGAATCTTTATAATCATAAATTTTTGTTAAGACCTTCTTCAACTGTAATTGCTAGTTCATCACTACATACAAACCAGTTTAGATGTGAACGGATTAAATTTCTTTTGAAAAAACAGCCATCAACATATGTTATTATTTTAAAAATGAAAAAGTAAAGACATCTTTATGCAGTTTAATCCATTCAAAGGCTTTTTTTTGAGTTATTATTATAAGATATTTTATGGGTTGTAGTATGTAAAAGTTGCAATAACTGTAAACATTTACTCATTTCTATTTCATGAATTGCATTAGTTCATATCAAAATCAATAGAAATCTTAAACATTCATTGCAAGCACTTTAAAATCGTCTCATATATAATTTTTTAAAGAAGTTTATTCGTGCAATTAAAGTTAATTTTCTTTATACTAGAAATGTACAGACTTATCCTACTCTATTCTATCCTATACGATAGGATAGGGTAAACGATAGAAAAACTTTACGAGGGTGATCTTCAACTGATTAATTGCTTTTGAGTCGGAACATTTACATTATGTGAGTCCTAATGAATTTTGAAAATTCCAAAAAGACTTCAAACCTATAACTTATTGCTGTTGATATAATGTATTTTTATGGTATCTTTCAACGCAATGCCATGATTTCCTTAGAAACAGCAGAAAAACTGGTTTTCAAATATCAACGTGAAACTTTGCATAGAAACAAGTCGTAATGAGGATAGTAAATCGTGATAATATTAGACCGCTTGATTTGTTTCCGTCTAATAATAAAAACATCGAATCTACAGATGTATATACGCAAGGTAACACGTGTGCTTTACCATCACTTTATCTTGACATAAGATAACGAAAGTACATGTTATTTTCGTAATAAATTATTCTTGTTAAGACTCATTTTTATGCAAAGTTTCAAGTCCAAATGCGAAAATAAGTTTTTCTGCTGTTCTTGAGAGAGATCATGGGATTGTAGTGACAAATACCATAAAAATGTAATACACCGACAGCAGTAAGTTATGAATCTGAACTCTTTTCGGAGCATTCATAACCCATTAGAATGTACAGGATGTATATATTTTCGGTTCCAAAGCGATTAATACATTGATGGAGGATCTTTTCTTGTTAGTCAAGGTACGAAAAAAACTTACTGCGCACATATTTGCTTCCTATCTCAATATTTTATTTGTAAAAAACAATTGAAAGCAAATAAAAATTAATAAAATAATTTTCCAAGACTTCGATCAAACAACCAAAATCTATACATGTCTATATTCTTTAGTAATTCGATTCGATTTGATTTATCAAATAATCAAGATTATTAGAGACATCTTTAACCTAAATGAACAATATCATTATAAATAGAAATAATACAAGAAAAATATTTTACTATATTCCTTCCTTGAGCCCATTTTTTATGTGCTTCCACATTTGTACAATAAACATAAATCGACGAAATCATTAAGGGATTGCGAATTGATTGAGTTAGTTCTTTACCAAGTCGACCACTAACAAGAATCACGAGTTTTGAACCGTTTTCGTATTTCTCAATAAAATGCGTGCACTCATCTAAGGTGGCGAAATACCGGCATCGACCAAAAACCTTCTCAAGCTGTTTTTTTGCTTGCTGATTGCTGCTACTGTCTATCTCAGCATCCAGCCATAAAAGAGGAATAGACACGGAATCATCATGGTTTGCATGATTGTTCGATATTGCAACATTTGTAGCCATCGTTCATCAATTATTGTTGTTCGAATACTTTTTTTTTTACTAAAAATATTAAAAATCGACTGTTATTTAACATGCTGCATTAAAAAAAACGAATCATTTTTACTTGTTTTGCCTGCGAAAACCTGGTGCACGAACGTTATTTATTACTGGCAAATAATGTGAATGACGAACACCAAAAGAAAAAATTCTCATCTACCTTTATAAAAAATTTTTTCGTTCTGTTTTATAAATGCAATTTGTTTATGAATGTCGCACATTATTGAAGTTTTGAGGAACTGACTCATATGAATGAATAAAATATGTAATACAATCATTTTCCAAATCTTCTATGAAATGACTCAATGAATTTTGATTGAGTTATTGTGTAAGTGTACATATTATATTCAATTATATGAAAAATATGTTCATATTTTTGATAAAGATGCTTCACATTGAAATATTTTCTTTCGTTTTTTGCAAAGAAATATTGAAAAACTTGAAGCTTTCATTTTATTTTTGTTGTTCACAAATATTTCAAATTATCTTTTTATTAAAGAAATCCAGTAAAAATGCGTAATTTTTATTGATTTTATCACATATTTCGATTAGTTTTTAAACAGTGTCTAGCATTTTGTTTTTTTTTGAAAAAAATATTATCCCAACAGAAATTAATCGATACTTTTTACAAATCATGCTCGAACAAACAAAAGTTTTTAATGTCATGTGAAAGCTTACCGGTGTTGTTCGTCTCATACAAATCTTTAGCAAGATCATCACGATGTTCGTCTGTCAATATCATTGATTTATATATTTTTTGAAGTTCAGTGGTTTTTTTTTTGGTGATACAATTTCTAGGCGCTTACACACTACTACATAGATATGTTCTTTATACGACTATTTTCTTTAATGAATGGGTATAAACCTTTATTTATCATTTTACACTTTGATAGCTACTTACTTAGTAACGAAAATTCTTCTGTCTTCCGATGTTGTACTAACACTATTAATGAACGTATCCATTTGACCACCATATTTTCACTTTATGTTATTAATGATAAATATAATATCGTTTGATGATGAAAGCTAGATATGATAGAGAGCCTGATGGCAAGTCAAAATAAATCTCAGACATGTTTGAAAGTTTGACTTGCAAAAATAACAAAAATTTTTGTTAGAAAAAAGTTGATCTTCATAAACATGTTTCGATCAGTTCGAAAGTAAAACTACTATTAATTAATATCAGTCACAAGAATGACACAGTATAATTTTTGTTAACAATATAAAGGCATCACCACAAAGAGAAGTAGAAAAGAACAGATAGATCATATATGAAGATTGGATCAGAATCCTTCTGATCTTGAGATTTTTCTCATGATAGAAAATCGCTTCGTTTCAAGAGTTGATTCTATAAATATTCTCCTAATGTTTAGCTTTTTTTCTATTTTAAATTTTCAAAACTGTATTAAACAATATTACAAAATAATAGAGAAATAAGAACTGATTTATTGTAGTGTCTAATAAATATAGTTTTTGTGAAGTTATTTTTAGTCCTATACAATAAAAAGTATTGAATTACTCAAGATAAGAAAACGTTAATATGGTTCTCTGTATAGTCAATATGTGAGAAGAAAGAAAGATTTACATCGCGATAACATACGTTCTAATAATATATTCATACCGAGAGTAGATTTTAACAATTGAAAGTGAATGTAAGAACAGAAGTACTGAAAATAAGATGTTATAAATTCAAAGAAATATCAAATTTTTTAAGATACAAAAGATAAGATACTCGAAAATAAGTGTAAAGAAACAAATATAGTTAAGAATTCAATCGAAATAGTTTGATTAATATTAATTTCATTTCTTGAAATGTCCATTCTAACATCAAAATACATTCAAATGAATGGAGGATGTTTAGAGCTTATCTCTGTAACTTATTTAAAAAATAAATAAATATGAAATATATTTAAGACAAAATTTATATTAAATTGAATATATACAAAAGTGTTCTTAAAAATAAAAATCGTTATGATATTTTATTAAAATTTGATTGATTAATTTTTAAATATTTTTGTTGCTACTTGTTTAACTATTTCACCGGGTACTGTCCAAAGAGCAATTAAAAGAAAAATAACCAAAATAAAAATAACGATTCCAAGAATAATTGCCCATTTGAAATTACGCCATATAACAAAACGTAATGTTTTCCATGGTGATGTAAACCAAAGAAATGATGTTTTTGGACGACTATAAATAAATAGAATCTATATTTTATAGAATCAAATATTAACATTTACTTTGGTTCATCAAGTGGCTGTGGTGCTTCACGTGCTTTACCAACTGGATTTTGTTCTGCTTCTTCAGCAGTAACAAGTGATAATTCAGCTTCAAGTTTTCCCTTAAAAAAAAAAAGAAAAAGTTAAATTCTTATTTTCTTTTCTTTTCTTATTTATTTATTGATGACTTACTCCTAATAAAGCTTTATCACGAATTTCACCCTCCTTCAATGGAGCAATCATTGGCCACCAACCTAAATATTTTAATTAGAATTGAAGAAAATTTAATTGAACATTAAAAAAAAAAGACACAAATCAAATCTTCATACCAGCAATACGTTTACTAACAAATAAATTAATTCCTTTTTGTTTTGGATTAAGTAAAATATCAGCTTTACATTTTTTTGATGTTTTAGCACCGAATGGTACATGTGTTAGACTAATAATACATTCACCTAGAAGAATTTTAATTGATTTAATCATAAATAAAGAATTAACAAACCAAGAAAATCATCAGCTGAAAAAAAATCTGCATCATAAACACGAACAATTAATCTTGGTGGTATCTTTTTTGTTGTATTACCAACTTGAAATACAGAATCTTTTGCTTCGAAAATAACTTTTTCTTCTATATCTAAATAGTTAAAATCGAATACAAATCGCCAATTAAAATTTCCTTCGCCTGTTAATGATCTATTAACAAAAATAATTTTTTTTTTTTTTTAATATTTTGTTAATTTTAATGATTAAAACGAACCGATAATGAATATCTGTTTGTTGTGCATCAATAGTTTCTCCTATAATCCATGCTTTAACATAAATATCTGATGTTTTCTCTCCCGTAAGAAAATTTTCATCATTTAATTCTACATCACATGTATTCCAGACAGTTACACGTAATTGATACAATGTCGGTTTAGGTGGTGTTATATCAATCATAGCACTTGAAGGTGGTCGTGACATTGGAAAAAAATCTAACCACATTTCTAATTTTCCTTGTTCAGTTTCAGGAAATTCTGGATTAAAAAGTGATCGACATTCAATATGTTCAGCGACCAAAGCACCTTTCTACATAAAATTGAATAATAAAAGAGATGAAAAAAAAAACAAGTCGAAAGAATTTTTTTCTTTTTTACTGGATTAATTTTTCTTCCCCATTCATGTAGAGCAACTAATGCTGTATTTTGTCGTATATATTCTTCAGGTGATTCATGATGAGCTTTTCGATGCAATGTATCAACGGATGATTTTGCATTCCTTATAAATTCAACACATAAAGGATCACATTCAAAACTTTCATCACCGATTGCTACTGAGCGAAAATCTTCCGAATAAACGGGTACATTCAAATCGATTGTTCGACATAAGTCAGTTAAAATTATTGTTGGTTTTTTTGTATCACGCCAAGTATTATAACCCGCACTAAATATATAAGAAAAACTCGAATGTTTATTTATTATATTAAGATAATTTAATTGACCTGTCATATCTTTTTGGTAAACCACATGTTGCTCTATGACATGAAAACCAACGATTTTCAATATCAATTTTTGTTTCAGCAATCATATCATTAGAACTTGTCATATCCCAATCCCATAATTGTACACGTATTAAGGATTGAAGAGGTAATTGAACGTCAAATTCATATGATCTATTGTTAAAAACAATTATGTTTTTTTGTTTTTTGTTTTTGCTATATACTCACTTGCCAAAAACAGGTTCTAATGTATTATGAAGTTTTCCTTCAAGATCATCAATTATAGTGTCATTGTTTAATAGAATTTTTATAAATGGATCTGCTTTGCCTGATTGATCCCAACCACGATATAATAAAGCTTTTATTATATATAATCGACATTTTAGTGTTATGGGATTTTTATTAAAATCAAATTGAAGCATTAGTTGATTTGTTGGTATAGCTGAATCATTTTTTGATTGTAAAACTGCTTTCATGTCAGGATTTGCAAAAGCTCCATGAAAAGACAGTGGACCCATAGAACTTGCTCTATCCATTCGAATTCCTCGCGAAGAAGTTGTTGATGGAATTTCTCGAATACGAAATTTACCCTGAACAAGAAATAGATAATTAAGAAAAAACATAAGTAAGTTCTCATGTCAAATAACAATATCGAATACTTATATATTAATAATGAGATAAAACATTAACAGTTTGTTAAAATATAATTTTTGACTTATTTTATAACAGAGAAAATATTTACAGTAAGAATTTTATAAGAAAATATTCTTTCCATACTTATATTGCTGCAAATCTCATAATTTCTATTAGTAACATATATTAAACATATTGAGTGTAAACAATATTTAGTTCAAAGTCCAAATCAAATAAGAAAAATTATTGTAGTAATAGATCAGATCCTATCAAAGGAACTGCTAGAATAAATTAGATCGTATTTATAAGATGTGTTTCAATAGTTTAATTCTTAGAATTGAGTTATTTGAAAAATTTTGTTCTATTTTGGGAACGACATTTCAGTAACAGAAGAAATTTTTGTTTTTTTTTTTTTTGAAAATAAAACAAAAGTTGTTCGAACAGATCAGTTCAGATTCGAGAATCTTTTCAAGAGTTCCTCAAATTCGAACTAGAACTTAATTTGTTGACCTCTATTAATCATTACTACCGGAATTCCAATAGTTTTCTGTTTATTCATACTTGTTGTTTATGGAATTGAATGCAATCAGTCAGTCAAACAAGATGATTGTTCATCTATAGACATGAACAATTTGTCATTGTGAGCATACATTCTGATTTTTTATTTATTTAGTCTGCTCATTATTATTATCTGTCGACAAGATTTATTTATAGAATTATCTTTTCAGATTGATTCGTTGGTTTAAAAGTATTCTGTAACAATGAATTTTTACTAACAGTCGAACATAATACGATATCAGATGCTAGTTGTCCGATGTATAACTTTGATGCAGAACTCTAATTTAGTTTATCTTAACGCAATGGAAAGAACATTTCGTCTTAGTTTAGAGTCAATCAGATCTGAAATTTTCAGGCTCGATCGAACCATATTTTGATATTTTCAGAGAATTTAAAACAAAAAATAGGATAAATGCGTTCTCTGACAAATGTGTAGGTAGAGCCCATTGAGCCAACATTGTCGGATACAAATCAGAACATGTTCTGATATGCAACCAATCCGATGTCGTCTATTGCTGTGATACATTTCTATGATGAATAAATATTATACAATACTAACCTTAAACTTTGTATAGATACGTTTTTCATCACCGATTTCATCTGATCGACTGGAACCTTTACCTTTATATCTAAATAAACAAATGAATATCTTTAAAAAAAAAATGAACTATTTCGGAAAAATTCTTACAAAGGAAATGAATCAAGACAATCATTAAAACCTTCATAATCATGAACATTTTCTAATTCTGTTTCAATTATCTAATCGAAAACGAAGAAAAGAAAAAAAAATCATAAACAATATATATAATTTATATTTTTCTTACATCAAATGTTTGTATTAATGTTAATTCTTTAAGACGATCAATTTCAATAAGGTCTAAACTTTCATCAACAGCTGATTTCGACTAAGATATTAAATCATTGAAATATTGTTTGTAAAAAAACAAAAAAAAAAAAAAATTTCAATTTTACTTTTTCAGAGTCTTCGAACGGGTCCATTTTATCAGCTGCTAAATGTCGTAATTTTTTTTGAGCTTTTCCAACACGTAGAAATATTTTTTTAGCTCTATTCCATAAACTCAAACGTTTTCTGGCAACAAGTGCTAAAAGAAATTAATCAATCGAGATTAATCAAATACCAAAATAAAAAAGAACTTTCAAAAAAAAAACCTGTTTCATCGTCAAAAAATTCGGCATAAGCATCATAACTATCTTTTAAACCTTCATTCATATCTATAGCAGATCGATTTATCAATTTCTATTAAAATATAATAAGAAAAATCAAAAACAAATAAATAATTCCATACTAGTTTGGCTTTTGATGCATAATATTTATGCCACCATCCAGCTGTTTTTTCCATTTCATTTCTTCTGATTTTTTCTAACGTTGTTAAAGGTTCATCTCCATGTTTCTTATCAATAGATGATTCAAGTGTCGGATCAGACTCATTTAAACCATTTTTTTCTTTATCTGTTTTTCCATCAGATCCATCACCGTCCTGATATTTTTGTTAAAAAAAAAAATGAACAATTATAATTAATAAGAAAATATTTTTTTAATTACTTTTTTCTTTTGTCCCGATGAGTCAGCACTGATAATAGGTGCTAGACTATCATTACGATCTTCATTACGACCAACACTGTTTTCAAACTCATCTAATTTTGTTTTTCGTAAACTCTCATCCTGTTCCGCTAGTGCAGCTAAAATGAAATCAATAATTGAGATATAAATTCCAAAACATAAAAATATACCTTCATATGCATCAATAACTGATCTTCGTACACGATTAAAATCGTATGGTATCCTTTTTGATAATTCATTTACAGCATCAGCAACAGCTTGACCAGTTGTTGTTAAAGGTTGAACAGGTTTTTCAAGATATTTTTGTAAATTAGTTACAACTAGATTGCCAATGACTTCTTTCATTCCAAAAAGACGATTTTGTACACAAAGTATACTTAAATGTGGCCAAAAATTATTATCATTTGGTAAATTCTATAAAACAAAAAAAAGAAAGAAAATCATATTTTTCACAAATAACATTAGTTAAAGTATTTTTTTTTTGTTTTCATACAACAATAAGTGTATATTTGTCTGCTTCAGTAGATGATACTTCAAAATTTGGATATTTTTGTACATTTTTTATTGATCTTGTTACACGTGCACCAGAACATTCAATGGTTACTTCAGCTTGTTGAATTGGTTGAAGATTAATCGTACGACATTCACGTAGACCCCAAAACATAATCTATTAAAAATTATAAGTGTTGTTTTTTTTTTATTCAATTAAAAGTTAAATATTTGAATTACTTCAATTTGATAAGTTTTATAATCAGGTATTAGTAATAATGGAATTTGATAAATTTTATTTTTCATAATATTAGTAATATAATCTGTTGGTGGATAATTCTCTGCTGTTACTGGAATTTCTAGAAGTTCAAATGCAATTTCAGCTTCTCGTGTTTCCTATTGTCAATGAAAAAAAAATAATTCGAAATCTTTGTTGTGAAATAAAGATTCTTTTAAGGATATTTACCGGATTGAGTTCAACAAGTTCAAATACAGCTAGAAGTTCTCCGGCTTGTTTTTCACCAAGTTTAAATTCATACCATTTAAATAAAGACTGTGATCTCGCATCATCTTGACCAAATAAATCAAGTTTAGCTGTTGTGGAAAAACGTCCAATTAAATCTGGACCATCACCACTCTAAAAATCATTAATAGAAAATTCATGTCGTTCAAATCGCTCATAAATCATCGAAACACCGCGGTTAATCGTTCGATTAACCATGGTTTCTCTGCTTAATTTTTTTTTGATACCTCAGTGTATTAATATTTTCTTATCTCTTAGAAAAATGTTAGATTTCAATGAAAACCACATCTTCGTGTTATTATGAACGTTCTCAAATCATCTGTATCAATCCCATTAGCTGCTTTTGCTTAGTTTTCGAGTGTAATTATTAATTAAAAATGACACTGAAAAATTAGTCATTAGTTAAAAAACTTCACCAAAAGAGAAAGAGAAAGTATGCCACTATCCAACACAATATAATATGACATATTAAAATTGACTATTTTCAGTGGTAATCGATCCTTTCAAAACTGAAAATGTTAATTTTATTGGCAAACTATAAGAATTTAGTGGTGAACAGAAAACTTCATAGAACTACAAATTTTATATTAATTTTTGCTGTGATTAACTGGTCTTGAAATATCGAAACTATTTATTAACTGTTTATTTGATCTACTTTTCATGGTATAGTCAAATGTCTGTGTGGAAATCTATGCTAGAAATAGTTGGAAATACAAAAAAAATCTATGAAAAACTATACTGCTGAACAATCATTCGGGTGTGGATGTGGGTGTGGAATGTTCTCAAATATTCATTGAAAAACGTATATAAAACAGAAATAATTTGGGACTCAAAGGATTAATTAGCGAAAAAATGCAAAACCCAAAAAAAGAGTCAAGATCAGTCGTCTAAGATCACTGGTAACAATTACGAGTAAACTATTCGAACGGTCGGCTTTTTTATGAGCCGCGGTGAACTGGATACTTCTCTAGATCAGCGAGATCCCGACAGCCACTCTCTGATGGTTCTACCAATTAGTGTGTAGGGTATTACAGATCTCGAGAAGTATCGATTAAGCTCTAAGCCGAGTTATGTGCATAAAAATAAACCATTTGAATACAACGATTCTCAACAGTTATTATTGCAACTATGCAATAACTTTGCACATAAATGATTTCAAGAATTTTTCATTTGCAATCCATATATTAACTTCTAGCTCTATTTATTTGAACTAGAAACCTTGAATCTTATTCTTTTGTCTTCACTCAAAAATTGATTCTTTTCTGTAAAATCAAGTCGAAAAGAAAGAAGAATATTACAGAAGAGACATAAAACCTTAAGATTTTTAGAAAAAAATATGATACAAATGGTAATGTTCAAAGATCTTTATATATTTTGTTTAAGCATTTCAATGATCTATATAAAGAAAACAATAAAAGAAATTCTTTTTCCTAATTATAAGTGAATTTTCATTAACAATTGTAGTTTACAAATATGCTAACTGAATCTAAAGATAACCCTAGTTGATAATAGGAATTTTATAGTGTTAATTTACTGATCAATGATACAATTCGACGAGAAAATTCCAATCGTAGCTTATACCTACAGATTATTCAGATTTTTTTGTTTTCGATTGCATTATAAACGGAAGTATTTCAATATTTTACGTAACCGATTAAAACAAAACATCTTAAAAGAAAAAAAAACACTTTGACAGAATCAATGTCTCAATATTCCACTGTCAAACAATCTCAGTGAGTCAATAATTCTTTGAACTTTACTATCGATTTCTTCAGTAGTTTTGTGAACATCAATATCAATGTATATATGATTTTCACTGGCTCGTACCAAGTGAACTTTAAGATCGATAGTGTCAGTTTAGACATCGACAGTCTATAATCCTAGTTCAAAAAAAAAAAAAAAATCATTTCATTATGTCAAAATTTCTAGTAGTATTTTCATAAGCTCAAGTTATTGAAGAATAATCATCAAATAACATTAATATTAAAAATTAGATGAAACGTGACAAAAATAAAAATAATCAGTTGTGATATGAATATTAATGTTCATATTCATAATCAGATTATATCAATCATGTTCAGGCGAATTATATATTGCCTAAGACCGATTCGACATTGCATATGAATCCACATATGTATACTAAAATAAATTTAGCAAGTTTATAACTTTCAGTGGAATTTGACTAAAAAAATAATTCTCAACTTGTAATGTTAATATTCAATAAATAAAAATAAAACATTCAATTTCAAAAGACAAAAAAAAATAAAGCATTTCAAGCATATTATCCAGTGTAGGAGTTAAAACTATTGTTTTTTTTTGAAAAGTTGATAGCTGAGAATAACGATAAAAAGTTAAAACGGTTATAATTTAGGTTATAACTATCAACTATTTGAATTCGATTAATTTTTTGATCGAAAATTTTAACAATTATCACTTGATCTATTTTGACTCCCACATTGATATTATCGTGCTATTGACGACATGCTTTTTTTTTCACTTTTCAACTGTCTACTCACATCATCATAGTCATAACATTCGACAACAACGTTTCCAATAATTTCTTCAGCTGTTTCTCGAGTTCCAACATGTACCAAATTTCGAAAAGTTAATGTTATATTCCATTGTGGACATAATGATTCTTTAAGAATCTATGCACAAGAAAAAAGAGAGAAATTAACAAAAACAAAGTACGAATACAAGATAATTTACTGGAGTTATTTGTGTTTCATTACCAACCGTAATACTTAAATAAGGATCAGACAAACCTGTTTCATCCGCAGCAATTAACGTTCTTGCTTTATAACAATGACATCGTAATTCATAAAAAGTTCGTGCTAGAAATAAAAAAACCATAAAGTATAACCTCTCTAAAGTGGACACTTTTGAAAAGCCCGGAAGGTATATGTACTATAAGAAGGTTAGATCTTTTCTAAAAGCAATTTTTTTTGTACAAAGAATAGACGTATTTTCTAGATATCTGAAAAGTGTTAGTGAATCAAAAAATTAGATATTGCTCATCGTTACTCATCTTTTCATGTATTCTGTTATCAGAAAATTAACAATTATTACAATGTAGTAAAATATCCCTATTTTGGATATTATTGAAGTTTTTTGAAAAGTATTTACTATAAAAAGGTTTACTTCTAGCGAAAATCACTGATGAGGAAACTGTCATGTCAGATGTCTGCTTCCAATTTCCAATGATTTTTTTTTGTTTATAAATATTCCATAGTGTTCTAATAAAATCCAAAAACGAATTTCAGTTCCTATTGATATTTGATAATGCTAACGAATTTTTAATATGCCTATTTTCTAGAAGTCTCCAGTGTTTAGAAAACTCGTTTTGTTTTTTCTCAAATTTTGATCTGCAACTTTGAAAATATAGACAAATCAACTGGATTAGATTCTATGGAAAAATTCAAAATTTGAGTTTTCTATATATTCGAAGTTTTAGAATAAAATTTAAATGTTCCAAAAACCTGAAAAATTATAGAAGCTTCTAGAAAATAGAAATTAAAAATTCAATATCTTAATCGAAGCTCAAATGCTTTTAGATGTTCTATTAGAATACTATGTTGTACCTATAGGTAAAAAAATCTTTGAAATTGGAAGGAGATAACTACAGAGGCTTTCCTGATTAGTCAAACTGCGAAGTATTCACTAAGGCAAGTTTTACTGTATTTATTTCTCAAGGTTTTTTTCATTTCTCACCATTATATCGTATAGATTTCAATTGAGGATTCAACGGTAATGATGGCATATCAAAGCCAGCAGGTAATTGTTTAAATATTACCGGTTCATGTTCTTCAATACCAAGCCAAAGATAGATTTGTACTTTTGCATTTGTTGATTTATTTAATGGTTTATCTGTTGAACGTGGTGTCTGAAAATAAATTATAATTATATTATTCTTTTTTTTTTTTGTTGTTTTCTATCAGAACAAAGAAATGCAAATGATAACAAACTTTGAGAAAAATAGTTTGTACATGACCATTATATAAACCTTTTTCACCGTGACAAAAATTAAAAAGAAGATCTTCAGGTTGAAAACGTGCATAAGCTACTCGTTTTGAATCACATATCATCCATAAAAATATATCAGGTAAAGATGGTTGTGCCTTTCAAATAAACAAAAAAAATAATATTAATCTTTCTTTGTCTTTTTCTTTTATGTAAATTATATTTACATCAGTAGCCATTTGTTGAAATGCACGAGCTATATTATTTAAATCCTTAACAATTTCATATCGTTTTGATTCATCAAAATCAACTTCTTTTGAAATCCATGTTTTAATTGATTCAATATTATGAAGAATTTTTTTATATCGTTTAATATCTAATTGATTCATTTTAATAGTTGGTGAAGTCGAATTTAATAATTCGTATAAATTTGGATGAACAACAGGTATAGTACCTAAATTTTCACTATTCTTCATATGTTCAGCACATCCACAAGGTAATGTATGAACATAATTTTCAATTTTTCGATATTCTTCTATCAGAATTTCATTTGACGCCTTTGAATTAATTTTCAATTCAAATTCACGAATTTTTTCATACTAAAAATAAGAACAAAAAAATAAATTAAAATAATAAAATTTTTGTTTTTGGAAAAATCAATACTAAATATTTTGATATATGTTTTAGACGATTTGATAATGTCATACGATAGATATAATCATGAAATATATATTTTGTAAATAATATTGGTTTTTGTAAATCAATTGGTAAACGAAAATAATCTTTATTATTATCAATTGAAATACGTGGATAAGCTCGTGTTAATGATGAAACAGGATTATGATTTGCATTTACTAATTCTTGTGGATTTAAATATCCACTTGGACCAATACTTAATTCAAAACAAATTGTTGCACTACCAAATGATTTATCAATCATACTGACATCATAAATACAACCAAATAAAAGAAATGTACGTTTCATTGGAAATATATACTATGAAAAAAACAAAAATATATATATATATTTATTGATATTATTTAAATTTAAAAAAATAAAAAAAAAAATATTTACTGCTTCAGGAAATTGTATACCAGTTTCTTTTTGTATATTCATATTTGGTGTATTTTCTGCAGTAATTGGATGACATTCAATAGCCATAAGTATTCGTCCTTTATAAGAAACTGCTTCACCCATTCCTTCACTAAGACCATCTTGTTCTGTACTTATTTTATATTCTCTTGGACTTCCATATAAAAACATCCATGTTGGACCTAATGTTGGTAGAAAACCAGCTGATGGATTACTTTCACTTATGAGAAAAAGATCAATAAAAAATGATGAAATAATACGATCTTTTTGAACAGCTGCACGATCTTTAAGAGTTATTTTAATTGTTCGTACAAGTGGTGGAAAACGGCCAACTAAATAAAGTGCTTCACCCCAAACAGGTGTTGTACCATTACGAGCTTCTGTTGTAGCCTTCATTGTATCATATGTAACTTCAACGTAAGGATCAACTGGTTCCCATGTATCTGATTGAAGAATTTTTTTTGAAACCGATGCTAAAAAATCAGTCATCATTTCAGGTAATTCAGTTGCAGTAAAAAGAATTATTTTTAATTGTACAGGAAATAAACGTCGAGGCATAGCTGCAGGAATTAAAGTTTTTCTAAAGAAAATTTATTAAAACAAAAAAAATAAAGATAAAAGAGAGAAGAGCCTCGATCGGATTAGGTGATTTACTCAGATTTCCGAAATCAAATATAACATGCGGTAGAGGAAATTGAGGCATATCAAATGATATATTCAAAGTATTATTTTCCTAAGATCTTAAACGAACTAGAATCAATTTACTAATAGACAACTATGTATCCAAAACATCATCAGTTAATCATCATTGTGATTCTTGATATCATTTCATGAGCTACAAATTCATCAACTAAACATATTCGATCATCCTATCTTGGATAAGTAGAAATGTGATTTTTCAATGATTTAGCCTCATTTTTCATTTATGGTTAGTCTCTGTAGTATCGACCATAAATAGTCTTGCATTAAGAAGTCTTAACCGATTTTTATATCAACTTTTTTTCTTAATACTGTATTTTCATATTTTTTGACTATTGAAAGTCGATCCTATTTCAAAATAAACATTATGTTTGAAATTAGTATAACAAACTGCATTGAAGAGCTTATACTTTGACTAAACATTTTTCTAGTGAAACTCGACAGAGGTGGGATCGGTTGGCATTTTTGCCAAACCGAACCGACCGTAACCGAAAAAGTCTCTAACCGAACCGAACGTAACCGACCGAATTTTTTAAAATTTCTAACCGAACCGACCGTAACCGAAAAAATCTCTAACCGAACCGACCGTAACCGAAAAAATCTCTAACCGAACCGAATGTAACCGACCGAATATTTAAAAATTTCTAACCGAACCGACCGTAACCGACCGAATTTCAAAAATTTCGTAATCGAACCGAGTTTAGAGAAAGCGAAGTTTAGCTTATTTTAGTTAGGGTATTAGTGCTTTATAAATTAGCAACAACAAATCAAATAATAGCAACTAAAAATAATGAACACTTAGAGAAAGCAAAGAATAAAGATTATTTATTGGATATTCTTACTGTATTATAACTTCCTTACCTCTCAGGGCAAATTTTAAAAATATGTGAGATAATCCGCGTTGCGAGCAACAGCTAGTTGTTGTACGATTATATTCTTTTTTCTTCGTATGTTTCACTGAAAAAGTCCATTGAACTCAAATGAAACGATTATGTTGATTCTTTCTAACCGAACCGAACATAACCGACCGAATTTTTTAAAATTTCTAACCGAACCGACCGTAACCGAAAAAGTCTCTAACCGAACCGAACGTAACCGACCGAATTCTCTAAAAATCTCCAACCGAACCGATTTCGGTTACGGTCAGTCGGTTCGGTTCGGTTAAAAACCGAACCGGTCCCATCTCTGAAACTCGACCAGTGCTCCCTCTCAGTTATCTTTTTTTCTGAATTTCTCCTTACAGTCCTCGACGGATCGAATTTTGACGAAAATATATTTCGTTAAAATATAAATTATTCGATGTAGTTTGTTATTCTAATTCCGAATATCATCTTTATTTCGCAACAGAATTGATTTTTGATAGTTAAAATATCTAATTACAGTATTAGAACAAAAAAGTTGATATAAAAATCTGTTAAAATTTCTCAATGAAAAACTCTTTGATGAGCATCACGCATTCATTTTAAAGAACTCCTAAATAGTATGTTTTGTAGTGCTAAATCATAGATAATTTTTGAGAAAGTTTGCCATCTAATCATATTTTCTATGATTAACACTATTGAAGATGCTGAGACTCATCATAAGTAAGTGAAAAAAACTTGTAAATCATTGAAATATCGCATTTCTACTGATCAAATATAGGATGATCGAAAATAATAAGTATATGAACTTGTAAACTATGAAAATCTTTCTAAACACTTTTGACTGATACCAAAGATTACAATAATCAATAAGTGATGATACTTTGGATATATAATTATCTATTTGTAAATTGATTCTAGTTCTTTCAAATTCTTATGAAAATAAGATTTACAATATACCACTCGATGCGTCTCAACTTACTCTTCATCATGATATATTTAGTCTCTCAATTCTGAATAGATTAGTTAATCTACTAGGATTCTTTCTACTTACGATGGTTTAAATTCATCATCATCATGTACTCCTTCGCTAACAACATTCTTTAAAAAGAATAAAACAAAATAAAATAAATAAAATTGTATGATCAAATAAAATTCTATTTACTTTTGTTGGAACACCACGTTGTGTAACAGATATTGAAAGAAGTAAATGACCACAAGACGCTCCAATATTTTCTGGATTAATTAATTGAGCCCATTTTCGTTCAAATGCATGTTCTTTTTCATTATAGACTGTTGATACATCTAATCGAAATATTCCTATTGGTTTTGTATCTGTAAATGTACTAATTATTTTAACAGCATCATGAACCTTAACAAATAATAATAATAATAATAATAATAAATGGAAACATGATTTATGATTGGTAAAATAAATGAAATAATAATAAAAAATAGTCAACTTAAATATTGATCAGTAAATTCCTTAAACAGTCAGCTATTAATTAATTAAGTTTCTAAATATAATTTATTAACAGCTGACTTTCTTAAAAGGTCAATATATTAAAAAAAATTTAAAAGGTTATAGAGAGTGAATCACTTTTGTACTTCTTGTCCTTTCTCTTCAGCTATTCAACATATGCCCTCTTTTGTTGTGATCTATTATTAATCTACATACTTTGTGACTAAGAAAGATTATTGTTTTCAGCCCTCGTATTGTTCATTATCTAAAACAAAGGGCAAGAATTGCCTCAATTTCTTTTCTGATTTGTAGTCTTTATCTATCATCATGTATAAATATTTCGTGTTTTTCAAACAAAAATAACATAGATTGTTTTTTTTTAAAATTTGATGTATCTGTAACCATATGAGTGGTACAAGTTTCTTAATACATAAGTGCAAAATGCCCTAGAGGAAACTAATAAAACAGTTAAAGAATACAGGAATGTTTCGACAAAATTTTAATAATTTTTTTAAATATCATCAAGAATTGGTCAACCGAACGAGATTCATCCTTAGTTAATGCAAGAATATTTGCTACACAACTCTATAATTATGAACTTCATCACAAAAATGAGTTACATAAATAAAAGATATCATTTGTATTTCAAATAATTGTGCACAAAAATAAAGATGATTCAAATAAACATATGAAAAACAAACGAACAATGATTCACATTAGAAAACATCGAAATGAAATTATCTAGTATTTTTTTAAGAATTATATATGCAAACACATTCTATATATGACGATTTGTTTGAAATATTATAAATTCCTAGAATCAACACAGGCTAAATCTATTTTACTGAATATAACAATTCAATTTTAATTTTTATCAAGTATTCTTAAATTTTTTTTCTTATTTATTCTTCGATTTATTTAAACTTATTTTCAATTGATAAGCTTTGTAATTTATTTTTTGAACTGCTACTTGTATTTAATAAACTGATCATTTTACCGTAAATTACTAATAATATTAGTACTGACCGTTTAGTATGTTCTATGGGTAATTTCATCTATTTTACTGACTACTTAAACAGTAGCTACAATAAATTAATTATCATGAAATGAAAAAACTTACTTTGATAAATATAACTTTTTCCATAAATTTTGTAGCTGGTAGTATAAAATCAAATGTGAAGAACTACAAAATAAAAAAAATTTAATATTGATTTTTTTTTTTTGTTTTGAATATCTTACTTCACCAAAATATGGTGAATTACAAGACTTTTGTATACTTGTATATCGTTTTTGATCATCAATTTGAACGCTAACATATGGATTGATATTAAGTCCAGGAAAATCTCGTCCTTGTATAACATGTACCATAACTTGCCATTCGGTCATTTCATATACGTCACCAACATATCGACCCAAACTAATATTCAATTAAAATCATACCAAAAAGTTTTTTATTATTAAAATAAAATTCTCTTTTTTTTTTTTTTACCTTTTTTCTAATAATTCTAAATTATTATGTTCCGTTCTTATCTTTTCATTTGGATCAGTAGGTCCAGAAAATTTTTGAGAATGTTGATCTTCTTCAAAATCAGTATCACTATGTGAATCCGTATCAGCATCATCTGTACGACCGGCTAATTTTGTACGAAGTTTTTTTCTATAATAGAAACAAAGAAAACAATGGATTGATTAATATTAATCTAAATAGTTACATTCGACTATCATGTTTTGAATGAACATGTCTATATCGATGACCACCATGTCGTCCTTCATCATCAAACATACTTCTCCAATCGACCAACTCAACTGTGTCGCCATAACCCAATGCAGCAAGTTGTTTATCAATATCTGGTGGTGTATAATATAGTTTAAGTTGTACGGTTGCTGGTAATAAGTAATTATTTGGATCAGATAAATTTTCTTCAGGTAAATCAATATATTTTGAATCGATTAAACCTTCGAGCATTATTTCAAAAATTGCAATCAATTTTTTCCGTTTTTTCTTTGCATTGATCGTATAAAATTCGATGCGTAATTGATCCTCTGGTACTAACATAGTTGCTAAATTGAAATTAAACTTCTTTGGTTTATTTCCACGTGCAATAAAATTTGCTGTACCATCACGTATGCGTACATTATTGGACCATAGATTAATACCTTATTGAGAGAAAATTGAGATTCAATGGTAATCATTCAAAATTAATTTCGAGCAATAAACTATAATTATTCATATTGAAATATCATATTTTAGTTTTCTTATATTGTTTTCGTAACTATGATTATTATGTTTTATTTTTATTGATTTTTCTAGAGAATTTATTTTCATTCATTTACATATATATATTCGATTTATTTAAAAGTATTTAAATTTAATTTAACAAGGTCAATAAAATTTGGCTTTGTAAATATGAAATATATACATGAAAGATTGCGTCGTGTTTTCTTACAAATAAGCAATACGATAAAAGATCAACGTAATAGATTAAGTAATTATACATCAATTATTCGTCCTTTTCATACAAAACATATGAAGTGTATATCTCGAGGCGAACATAATAGATGGAAATCGATAGTGAATGACTCAACGCGTATTAAATCAAGGACAAACAAAAAAGCAAAACTTATGCGACATTCAATTCATTATTAAAAAGCAATATTTCCATTTCGTACTCTTGTTCGCACTTCTGTCAGTATATCATGGTACTTATACTACCGGGAGTCGATTTACACTCGACAACTAATACAGTCGGCTTAGATGCGTTAACATAATCACAATGTATTGAAAGCGACTTAATTCTACCAGTTTTAATAGACTTCAAAAATATTCACCCATTTCTATAAAATCATCATGATTTAACACTTTCAATAAGAAAACCGCTGATATATCGTACATTATACCGATGGATAAATTAGCAAAAATATATTCATATCATGAAATCAATAATCAGGATTTGAAAAGAAAGACAAAATCAAAACGAATAATTTGAAAATCAATAAGGCATTATGTTTGATGTTATTTAATCAATGTAGTGAATGGATATGGGTGGAACAAGATCAGTATTTTTTATGGGAAACGGTTGCTATGTAATGTAGTGCTATCAGACTGCCTATGTAAATAAATCATTTTTCCAACTGGAAATAAAAAAAACTGTATTTTTAGTTTTCGTTTATTATTCTATTTAATATTGATTTATTCTCTACTCTTTTTGTTTGTTAATATATGATTAGTAAATACCTCGAAATATGACTTTAGCACTCAGTAATGTCACGTTTTCATCACTAATAAATTGTGTTGATGGCATATCAGATATTGATTGATCATCATTTTCACCAGTAGCTTCTACTTTAGAATTGGAACCTTCCAGATTAGAAACTTTAAATAAAAATAATGTCAACGCCATTGTATTCTGTATGTAAATATATTAAATACAATATGTTTGTAAATGCTTCTTGTAAGTTTATACAAACAGTAATACTTCAATAAATAATACAATATATGAAATTAAAAATCAAAATATTATATAAAGAAAAAGATGCATGTACAAGTGATTTATATATATAAAACCTATAACGAGTATTTTAACGAACAGTATCAATGAGCCAAAAGACAAATATAAGATTATTTCGTTCTCTCTGCTCTACTGATTTCCTTGTATTTTTTTCTTTTTTGCTTTCATTAACTTATGACATTTTTTTGCATCTATTCAAGCTTCTAAACGAAAGAAAGAAAACGATTTATATGTCAATTTATTTGATTTTGATAAGAAACGTAATTATTAGAAGTGTTTATCATCATTTAGTTTGTTGTTCGTTAAAAAAAAACATTTTCTACGTGATTGTTAATGAGTATATAATATTACTGTGAAGTTATCCAAGACCAATGTTGATTTAAAAAAATATTTAATATATTAATATCAATCAAAACATCGAACATCGAAACACTAATTTATGATTGTTCTTTTAGAATCAAACATTTTTTTGTGTGATTCACTTTTTTATTTTGCTTTGCATGAATTATTCTGAATAATGAGATGCGAAAAGAAAAAAACACATAAACAATATCCGAATCATACCTATCACGTTTTTATCCTTCAAACCTTTTGTCTTTTTTCCGATTTTTATTACAAAAAAATAGGCATATTGTTAGAGATATGTTATGATATATTCAAATGATTGTTGATCATAAAAAATATAAAAAAAAACTTTTTCATGAATCAATTTTCACTTCGCTCATGTTTTCGGGGGGGGGGGGGGGGGGTAAGTCAGTGTCGCATCTAGATTTTTTTTTCTGAAGAGATGATTCAAAAGCTTAGGAAGACGAATACCTATTTTTAGAAGTACAAACACGTTGTGTATGGAGGACAATAATCATACACTTCGGAGAGGAATATTGCGCCTTGGTCTCTATGCTAGATGAAATATTAACTTAAATATCTAAAATTTTATGTTCTTCTTATCGTTTAAATAGTGAAATACTGAATACATAAAAAAATATAGACAATTGAAAATAAGAAAGCTTGAAATAACATTTATTACCATATGTTCCTATTTCATGTGTTTAACAATATGAGTTTTTCTGAGAAATTTAAAAATTTGTGGCACGAAGAGAATGATGATAAACAAATGTTTACATAGGTGTTTTATTGTTCTATAGACCATGATCATGTAAATTCAATATAGAAAAATTTTTCAAGTCAAATACTACTTGAATATGTTATCAATATTTTATTTCGATATCAGAGGTCTCAATGAACTGGACAGAACATTTTCTAAATAGAAAAATATCGACAACATTAGGTTGATTGAATATGGCGATGGACTCAAATTTGAGCAAAATATGAGAACTTGTCAGTGGAGCCTCATAAGAGACTAAAATGTGGAACTCACAAACTCTGATTGTTATAAATTTATCGTATATTGTTGAGAAAATTGAAATAATTTAAAAAAGATGTTAAATGCAGAAATAAATGAAAATGATAACAATTTTAATAATTGATATGTACCGTCTGAAATTTTATCATTTCGAAAATGTTTACATTTAAAGAAAATTATTATCTTGTAAATTGTACAAAAAACTATTTTTTTTGAAATATGCAATTCAATAACTAGATTGCAATTACAATCAATTAGAAATTTGATGTCATTTTGAATTTCAGTTGGATCACTGTCTTCATCAAATTCGAATCGATTTTTTGTAAATTTTTATTCAGTCAACAAAAAATAAAACAGTCACTATTTATTTTTTGAACAGGTATGTAGTGTTAGTTGAATATATCATTGGACAAAAATAATAATGACTATGTATCATACTGTCTTGTGACTTTCGTTAAATCTGTCACTCACATATAATCAGCATTGATGGTTTCTTTTTTTGTCTCAATAAAAAATAATTATTATAACAATTAAATTAAGTTCGAAACATATGATTGTTCTTAGAAGAAAAAAAAAACCTTTTCGAGTATTGGTGGGATATTTTGACTTATAAGATTATTTTTTATATGTGTCTATCTTGTGTCAATAGTGTTCTATTGATCAACCTTGAATGATAAGGTTTATAAGAATTTATATTTCATGATAATTGACACAGACTTTCCTTTTTTTTTGTTTTTTTACTATACTTCCCCTTTAATACATGGTAGATTGTGAAGATGAAAATATTACCTTGAGTTATTATATGTTTTCAAATGATAAATAGATATAGTTATTTGATAGATTCATTTAACAGCAATCGAGTACTTATTTATACAAAATGCTTTTATTGTAGATCATTATTGAATTTTTCTTTTGTAATTCAAAATGTCATTGATTGAAAAATATGAATTATTAAAATATGAAGGATCATCAACTGATCGTCTCAACTATATATTATCTTTAGTTGACAAAAGAGAAATCGAAATATATTTAAAAAGTTTATCTATTAAATCTTATAATGATTTACAAATGTTAATATTTCTATCGAAATCAACAAAAAATCAAACAAATCTTTTCGAAATCTTTAAAAATAATTCATTACCAATTCGTCAACGTGCTGATGCTGGAAAAGCATGGCTTCGACTTCAACATGATGAAAAACAAGTTCATCAATTTGTAGTTGAAACAATTACAGATTCAACTATTCCTCGATTGTATGTTCATTTTTTTTTTTGAAATCATTTAAAAAAAAAGAAAAGAGATGTTTGAATATATTTTTTTAGTATAAAACATCAAATTCTTAAATATCTTCATAATATTCATTGTTTAAAAATATCTTCATCATTTTTCTATGATCTTGCTTGTCATTTGACTAAATTATATCATCATGATGAATTTAATATTGATGCTCATACATTACCATTCTGTTCATCAAATCAAATAATGAAACTTCTTTCACAATGGTCATTGACACGTTATAGTCAAATTCATTTTTCATCTTCATTTCATTCGAAATTAATTCGTTATCAACCACTTATTGTTATTCATTTAATTAAAGGTGATTTAATAGATAAATATACAAATAATGATATACTATTAAAATATTATCGAGATAATAAAGAATTATTTGAATTATTAGCAAGAAAAGAACCTAAAGCAATGTGTCATTTTGCAATTGAACATGTTCATCGATTAGAAAAACATAAAAGACTTTTACCAGCATATATTGTATCCGAAGTAAAAAGAATGTTTGATAAAGCTCCAGATGAAATGATTCAATTAATAACATTAGTTGCTTCTCATCAACCAGGTTTTTATTAAATAAAATTAACTTGACGTCTTCAGATTTGTTTTTTTTTCATCTTTTTTAGGTATAATTAAATACGAAACATCATGGGATTCTTCAGGCATAGAACTTTCTACTTTTCTATTTCCTCGTTCATTTTCAATAGAGAATTCTATTCGTCTCTTTTTTATATTATATGATACATGTAATTGGTCTCTGAATGATACAAACCATCTCGTTTCCTATATGTTAGGCAATGATGTAATATCACATAAAATGTCGGCTCTTCGTCAACAACGCAGATGGTTTTTTGATATTGTCGTTGAAAAACGTATTGGTAAAGAAGAGTTTCTAAGAAAATTGTTAAGAAATGCTACAGAAACTGATTTGTATATGTTAAATGATTATCCAGAATTAAGAAATCCATTAACTCGATATTTAGTTGAACAATTGGATCAATCTGAATTAATTAGTCCTGAACAACGTGCATCTTTGCTTCGTTATGAATTTATGAATTCAGAAATTTTCAATCAATTTTTATCTCTTTTTCAACAATATGGTTCAGATGCTAATACAAGAAAACGAATGTATTCATTGTTTCTTCAATGTGCTGTTTCGACAGATCAAAATAGTGTAAATAATGTTCTTCAATGGATTAAAAAACGATTTATCAATGAACAATTGAGTGTTATTGAATATTTTCTACGAAATTTATCTCAATATAATGATCAATTCCATTTAGAATATTTGCCAGATAATTTTAATACAATTGAGGAAATTATGGATATTGCTTTTAATCATTTACAAAAAACACCAACTACAGTAGAAACTATACTTGCATATGGATTTTTATTGTTAGTTCAAGCAGAACATGATCAAAATAAAGAAAAACAGAAGAAAATACAAGAATTTGCTAGCAAGATTATTAAACGGTAAGTGAAAAAAACAATTAGAATACAAAACTAATCTCTTAGATATCATTTATCGAAGTTCAATTCTACTTCGAAACTGAATTGTCTAAATCATATTTGTTCTACGTTTTAAAGCAGGAGATTATCGACAATACAGAATTCCGTTCTATTTTGAGAATACCACCGTCGGGTATCAAAATACGTTTGTTCTATTACTGAAACGCTATTGTCAAAACAGAACCAAGTTTTTTTGGACAGACTAGTTCCAAGAACTGGACTGTTGGAACAGTTCTTTTGCCTATTTGGTGTAAATATTGAACTTGAATCTGTTTAGAACCTCTACCGAAATCGAAACTTTTAGATTGAGATCCGGTCGAGTAATACTTCTTGATGTTCTCAGTGAAACTTTCTAATCAACATTGAAAATTTGCTTCGAAGATATGAGGTGCTCTTTTCCAGTTTTTTGTATTCAGTGACTAGCACAACCTATACATTTCTCAGATGACTAGAGACTATCGAATGCAAAATTTTCGAACTCGAATTCGACGAAAGCGGGACCTATTCGATGAGCTTTAGGTCTGATGAACTTCTAACAATTTACTATCAACTGAAAAAAATAATATGTATTTAATTGTTTAGATATTATTCAGTGAATGGTAATTTTCCCTATGATAATGTATTATTATCTCGATCATTACCAATGGCACGTAATATTTTTGCAAATATTTTAATATCAGATATATTTCCGAAATTAATTTCAAAATGTTTGATAACCGAAATAAATAATTTATTAATGAAATGTTTCAAAGATGTTTGGCGTTTAACACAAATTGATTCTTTTCTTTATTCATTTTTTTTTGAACATTTACGTTATTCAAAACAACTTCAATTGGCATTTAATATTAATGAACATTGTTTTTTAATTTCATTATTTCTTAAACCAAAATCAACTCGATTAGAACGTATTCATCATTTATTAAATGATATTGATCAAATATTTTTCTATCATATTGATATTCAACGTACTGTTTTATATTCTCAACAATATCGACAATTAATCGATAAACTTCTAGAAGATGAAAAATGTATTGATATCAATAAACTTTCAAAAGAACAAACTAATTTAAATTCAAATATAGAAAATAAAAAATTACCCGGATTAAATATACATATATTGAATAATTATTATTATCAATTAACAGGACAACAACAAGAACATATAACAAAAATTATATTAAATGATTATCTTCAGGTAATTAATTTAATCCTGTTCAATATGAACATCAAAATATAAGAAAGTTATTTTTATTTTTGTTAGGATACAGATGTATCTAATCTTGAAAAATTGAAAGCATTACATATTCTTAGTCGTTTAACTTATACATATCATTATACACTTGAATGGATTGAGAAAAATCAAAATATTTTTTCGTCGATAACAAATGATACTTCTTCAAGTAATAATTCTGGTCGTGGTGCAAATATTCAAGTACTTCATCATTATATTTTATCTTTACCAGCTACTTTTGATTTATTTCCACAAGATTTATATAAACAATTCGATCGACTCAAAGAGAAATTGAATGCATCGAATGCTACATATGTTAGAAATGCTATGTTAAGTATTTCACAAAAAGTGACTGATCAATATTTTTTACAACATTTTATCGAATTTATTCATAGTGAACATCTTTCAAAATTAGGTGAATAAATATCAGTCTAATGATAAATAATATAGTTTCAATTTGTTTTTTTTTTTCCTCATTAGGTATTACGGCCAACAAAGCAATGCTACGTTTATTAGTTGAATATCGTTTTAATTCAATGTTGATAACATCAGTTTTAAAACCTTTATGGGATAGTCGACCTCATCCAAATATTCGTACTTGTCTTATCAAAGTTCTACTTGATTTTATTCATGAATCGAATATAAAGGATGATACATCAATAGTTTGGTCAATTCTTGAACAAGCTGCATATGATGACTATGATCCAGTAGTATTAGCTCTATTTGGTGCAAATGATAAAGGAATTCGTCGACCATCAATTGGATTAAAAGATTCATCTACTAAACTTCTTCAAATTTTTGTTCAACGAATTCAAATGAAAATTATTGATCATCCAACATCATTATCAGCACGTATATGGGCTTGGACTCTACTTGATAGTGAATATTGTAATATTAGCATAGTCATAGAAAAAGCTAGACAATTATGTATTCAATTTGATAAAAATGCTAATATATTATGGAAGAAAGCTTTTGAAAAAATATTAGAATTTTATAAATTAAAGAAGTGAGTTACCTTTTATGTATAATACAAGACTTTATTGAATTAAAAAATCTTGTATTTTGCGAAATATGATCTAGAAGGAGTGTTGAAGTAGAAGGGTGAAAATTTAGATATATTTCTTCCCTCTCCGAAAGGATATTTCCTTTCAGTGATTATCATGCCCAGAACCCGAGAATTTCCGGCAGATTTCCACTGGAAAGTTCAGAAAACGGTAGGAATTCGAAAGAAGGAAACCGATGACTAGATTTTCTAGTTCTGGTCTGAACCGGTCACTGAATCTGATCAACGAATTTCTACTTCCTAGTTCCTATCATTTTTTCGAGCTTTTCAGTCGAAAACAGCCTGTGCTTCTTGACCGAGAGTAACGGATGTAAGCATGAGAACGCCTCACACTGTGGTAGATATTGTTGATTTATAGTCTCAGATCTAGACTTCTGCAAAATGGCCACGGTCACGGTCACGGCCTCTCATGACCGTGACCGTGACTAGTTTTCGAAAAATTGTCGTGACTGGGATCGTGACCGTGACCAAATAGTTCATGATCGTAACTAAATAGCTCGTGATCGTGACTTAATGGTGAAAAATTTTGAGATTAGAAATCTAATTTTTGTGAAAAAAAATCAAGATTTTAATTGATTTATGTGTTTTCTGCGTTTTATTACAGAGAAAATCTGCAAAATCAATATAAATCTTGATTTTGTAGCACAAAAATTCAGTTAGTAATCCAAAATTTTCGTGACCGTGACGTGACCGTGACTATGACCATGATCGGGACCAGACAGCTCGTGACCGTGACGTGATCGTGGCTAGTTTCGAAAAAACTCCGTGACTATGAACGTGACCGTGACGTGACGTGACTGAAAAATTGTGGTCACGCAGAAGTCTACTCAGATCGTATATCAACAACATGCCATTATAATACTTTTTTCCATTTCTGAAGGATTAACTAAAGCGATGCTGAAGCAAAAAGGTCGTACAATAGATAGAATAAAACAATCTTCGGATTATTAACAACAACAGTTAGATTGTGTTTAACAGCTTTTTCTTTTAGAATATCATCCAATGATATTATTAATTTTATTCAATTCATGATCGATTACGAAAAAAAGTTAGATTTAGATCAAAATAATCTTGATGATCAAAGTGATTTACTAATTTATCGTCGTATTAACGAACTTTTAGATATTTTTATTTCTTCACTCGGTGAGACTGATCAACAACAACGACAATATTTTCATTCTTTGGCTCTATCCATTCTTAAATGTCAAGTAACAAGAGCTCATTTAGCTGGAAGATTATTAATGATATTGGCTCAAAACAAAGAAGATCTCGAAGAAATACTAATTATTTTTCAACAATACCTATCTCCTGTCTATTTTGAATATATACTTGTTAAATTAGCATCATATCTCGGTGATAATAATGGGTCTTGTCCTTTCGTACAACAATTGAGTATTGATGAAAAATTTCATCTAGCTCTATGGTTTATCAATGAAAAAGATCAACCATTGTTCGTTTTTGATTTATTGAAAAATCAAGTATTTAATAAAGCAAGTGTTGATAAACAACAATGTCAAGTTCTTCTTCGTCAAATGAGACAAAGTTCGAATTTAATATTACGTCAGCAAGTACTTGAATATGCAATACCTTGGAGACCAGATGGAACTCTTTATGCTGATGACACTTAATTAACTGTTCTATGGTTCAAATAGACTAATGTTCAACATTAGAGAAATCATATAAGTGTTGACTTTTTTTTTCTCTGATACCAACTATTTACCTAAAATGCAAGTAATGAGTTTGAACGGCTAATAAAGTTCTTTGTTCGATGTACGATATACCAAGAATTCGCAGCCGAGCTATGTGAGATAGTTTTTAAATCGTACAAGATGGTATAAGCATTTGTTTTTATCAATACTATATGAAAGAGTATAAAATTCTGAAGAAAACATGTTTTTGTGTTTTTTTTTTCTTGGTGCTTGTAACTGCTTAACGCAAAGTCGTAAAAAAACACGACGATCTCTTATTTTCTTAAACAGATTTGTGCTCTTTCAAAAGATATCATTCAACTAGAACTCCTATTTTGCATTCTGTGATCTGGAAACTATGATGGTTAGATTTTTAGAAAAAATTTCAACATAATTAAGTTATGGTATATTAATGTATGATACATTTGATAAAGAACTTTATTAACTATTTAAATCAATATTTGAATGTTAGTTAGGTAATTGGCATCACCGAAAAAGAACAAAATTACCTTATTCTTATAATTTTAAGCATTGCTATATTTATTAACATTTTATTTATTTATTTTTACGTAAAAAACACCGCAATTAATTTGTATTTTTTATAGTTTTGAGAAACGACAAGTAAAGAGGTAGCAGTCATCTGCACAAATTGGATGTTCATTATGAACAAGAAGTAAGTGCAAAGATTTGATTTTGTCCATATTGATAATCACATAATTATGATTTCGATTTTCATTGTAAGATAGTATTATCAAATATTAGTTGAGTTTGAATCAAATATTTTCTTTCTTCACTGCAATGTAACGTATCACTAATGAAATCTCATCATCATCAATTAATTTTCTTGTGTTCAAATTAGAAAAGAATAATTTAATGAGTTACACTTGAACTTCAGCACAGAAATACTTAAAAAACGGAAAAGAAACAGTCTAAAATGGTGTATACAAATTATTCTAGAGTTTTCAATAAGATATGTGTCAATGTTCTATCTCATGTTAAAGTGCATCTCTCATATTCAATATCGAAAATATTCAATAACGAATAAGAATCAATCATATTGTCTCCCATGGATTTGCTATGTATAGAATAAATCAAAACTTAATTTGAATTTCTCTTAAAATAGCAAAATTTTGAAATTTACATACTGCACATAAAGACATGAGATGAATGAGTTTGAATGTAACTTTTCAATATGAATGACTTTCATTGTTATAGTAATACAATGATCACGATGTCATCTAACATGTTGCAATCATACTTGACATCATAATTCATGAGTTTGGACATAGTTCATTTACTTATTCTGTCTGCTATATGGATCATGGTTTAGAAAAATCAAAAAGATCAAATTTTTCTTTTTTTTTTCTATCGAGTCTATCAAATTTTTGGTTTCATTTTTATAGAAGTACTAATGAAAGAGACCGATAATGCAATCAAAATTTTATTCTTTGAATTTCGTATTTAACATTATGATCTTGAACATTCAAAACTATGGTTCTATAGATAGCATATTGTCTTGATATATCACACTAACAGTTTAAAAATTTATGTTGATGAAACAAGATTACCTTACACTGAACATTTGCACTAATTTATTTTTATATGATATCATTCGTAATTTCAAATATGAAAGATAATCTTTCCATCTGAATATCGGTAAAACAATAACGAGAAACAACCATACCTCATGAAGAACTACCGAAATTTAATTTCAAACGTGTATGTAATCCTATGGAGAAACCAATATAACAACTATTAACACGTGAAACAACAATTCAAATAGAAAACGAATGTTGAATCCATGGGACAAGAACTATTAGATGTAGTTTTTATTTTTCTTTGCTCTTACAAACTTTTCTTATTACACAGTTTATTTGTTCTCTAGTCAGATTTTAATGAAAGATGTGTACTAAACAATATAAACCTATTAGAACTACTGATTTTACTTGAATATACAACTATAGATGTAGAGAACTAATGTAGAACAATAATAACAAGACATTCGTTGAACCGGACCAAGGAAAGGCGAGAACGAACGAATCAAAGGAAAACAACAACGAGGACAATTCCAACATATACTTAAATAATGATCAAGAAAAAGCATCAGAATGAGTTATTACTACAACAAGAAAATTTGCATTTTTTTATCTTAACAAGAATTATCTGTCAAAGTAGAAGAATTTTTATTTAACTATGTGCTATAGATAAATTAAATATAAATAAAAAAGAGCCTGTAATATAAACTGCTGAAAGATTAAAAGAAATAATTAGATTTCTAAGTGTATTTATTATATATTTTTTCTGATCCTTTTTAAATCGTGCAATGCAAGTCAAGAAATATGGGCTTTTTTTTCACCAGAAAAACTTAAGAAAATGGTAGAAGCTTGAAAGCAGGTATCTGGTGATTGTATATGATAGCTGGCTGTATAGTGTAATGGCAGGTGGCGCCCTCGCTACTTGTATTTTATTATCCACAAGATATAAATCATCAATATAAATATAACAGAACCTTAAACATATAAGTTTTTATATACAAAATCGATTGCCGATAGCTTCAAAACATTAACACAAATAATATTATATTATGTATCATGTAAATTCCAGTTTCTTTAGTAATTTTTCTTCTTTCACTATTAAACAAGTCAATTAATAAAAGTACATCATTTTTCTCATCTTACACTTTTGTAGCGTTCTTCTTTATATTGTGATTTACCTTCTTTACATATATGTACTTTCTTTTCGTTCCGTCATATGTATTATTCCCAAACCTGCTGGGCTATTACCATATTCATCACACTGTTCATACACCTGTATATTATAGTGACTCATTTTTTTTGCAATAAACAAATTATATGATTCGACTACATTCTGCCTTGGTTATTATCGAGTAGAAGGAATAATTTTTTCAATTGGAAAAACTTCACTTAACTAAATAGTTTCTTGTTTGATTTTTTTCTCTTTCTCTCAAACCTACGCAAGTCAATTTCTCATTATATTTTTCCTCCATGCCAATCATTTAATTGTTAAATATATGTGTCGTATTCAATAAAAACAGCAGCTGTCCCAATTATATCACATATTATGAATCACACATACATAATTTTTCGTTTCTCGATATTCTTTGCTCTTTCATGTTCGTATTCTGCACTAGACCATATATACATCACATCGTTTTTCTTTTTATGCATTTAGTTTGTCCTTACTTTTGTATTCTATCTCATCGTCAATATTCCTTGTATATTTAGTTTGTAAAAATTTACAAAATTTTCTTCTAGTGATTCATCATTATTTGTTTAGATAGCAATTATTATTTAGTCGATTAAAATTCTACAAATAATGATAAACAAAATAAAATCATCAACTATTGTTGAACATGGTCAAGAAAAAATGAAAATAGCTTGTCTTTTTTTAAAAAAATTTCTTCATGATTGGTCATTAAATTTTGCAGCAATGCTAGCATTTGATTTATTAATATCTCTTCTTCCTATGGCTGTAGCATTTTTTGGAATACTAGGTATAGTTTTAAGAAATAATCCTTATGCACAACAAGAAATTAAAGATAAAATTATTAATTCATTTTCTATCGAGAATACCACAAATAGTGGTATCAAACAAGTAAATATTTAATTTGAAAAAATTTTAAAAGAAAAATCTATTTGTTTGTCTTTTAAAGATAGTTGATATAGCTTTTAATCAATTATCAGAAGAAGCTGGTGTAATTTTCTTTATTGGTCTTATTTTTGCATTGTTTGGTTCATCTCGATTGTTTGTTGCTATTCAAAAATGTATGACTATTATATATAGAGTACCTCAACGAACATTTCTTGATGCAAATGTGTTAGCGTTTGGAGCAGTTTTTGTTTTCATTATTATTGTTCCAGTAATGCTTGCATTTAGTTCAGCTCCATCTGTATTAATAAGTACAATACCCGGTGGTAGTAGTCGTTTTGGAGTGTTTGCTGCTGGAATTATATTTTCATTACTTTGCGCATTTATTTTCCTTGAACTTATATATTTATATATGCCAAATAAAAAAATGTCATTTAAAGTTACATGGTGTGGAGCATTAATTGCTGCTTGCATACTTGAAGTGTTTATAATTTTATTTCCACTTTATGTACGAACATTTATGGGAAATTATACCGGTAAGTTGCTCATATGAAATGTTTTTTTTTTTTTAAGATAAATATCTGATTATGTTCATCAAGGTCAAATTGGTTTTGCTGTGATTCTTCTTCTATTTTTTTATTATTTTGCTATAATAATCATATTGGGTGCTCAAATAAATGCTTTCTTTTTTGACAATTATCAACCATTACTTGATGGATTAGGAACATATTTAAGTGAAATGCATGAAGAATATGGTGTTGATCATCCAAGAAGACCATTATGCGAAGAAAATGTTGAAACAAGATCATACACCAGTTGAATTATAATCATAGAAATAAAATGGTGATTAATTGAAAAATAAACAGAAGACACAAATCTCGTTTGTAAAATTATAAGTTATCTTTTTTTTTTTTTTTCTTTTAATGACTATATTAATATTATTGTTTATTCATGCGTAATCACAGAGCGGATAATAAATAGTACGACGATGAAAAAAAATGAAATCTTTCTGCTTTTTGGGTCGCTTCGGTGGACTAATTTTTTAAGTATTGGCAGAAATTTATTTAAAGTTTTTTTTTTTTCTTCTTATATGAATAATGTCAACATTTACTACTGTCAAGCAGAAATATTGATTAGTTTTCGGTCAGATGGAGAGATCAAATTTTTTCTATGTAGATATGATAGATATAATGTTAATTATTTACATCCACCTTTATTCATATGTGATAACCCTTCTTTAGAGTAAATAACGAAAAGAAGAATGATTATAATTAAACAAAGACTTAATTGACTTCATATGTAAAAGTTAACTAACTTTTTGATTTGGAAAACTCATCAATAATATTTTCTATATCGCGAGTTTTTGAACCATGTTCTTATAAACACTGATCTTAATCATATAATACTCGACAGTAGCTACTGACACCGATATTTAACATTTGAATTTGAGTAAGATTAACAATTGATGCATTCGGTTGCTTGAATAACGGAATATTTATATTATTCACATATATCATGATTCGATAAATAATCAATAATGGCTTTTAATGATACTAATGATCTATTAAAAAATCAACCAAATCACTGGTTTCTTGCTTTCCTTGAAAATAAAACTCAATGTTGGCAATAAACTCCTTGATTCATTCAGAATATGCTAGACGTAAGTATTAGCAGACTGATGGATTTTTTCTATTTGTTTCAACTTTTGAAAAAATATAATTTAGTAATAGAATCTCTGGTCTCGTTAACAATCGATTAAATACTGAAAAATTTTTCGTTGCTAGCTAATTTGTAAGATAGAATTCAATATCATCATTCTTTACAAGTAAATTGATTATAATGGTAGAATCTTACGTAATAGACAATGAAGAAATAGCAACTGAAATATCTTTGTTATTAACGGCTCGTGAATTCGTTGTTGTTATTGTAATTATAGACATTATGTGCTATTGATTTTTGTGAGACTTTTCTATCTATATCATCCTTAGATTTCTTGTTCAATAATATTTTTCTGCATTTTATTCGTTATCTTTAATAAATGTTTTCTGAAAAAAAAAAATATCACAACGATACTCTTATATGTAAGTCATAAAGTAGGATAAAATACTTGTGATTATATGCATCATACATTTATTTAACATTAATCATAACAAACAAGGTGTCGGTCAAAACACAAACATAGTAAATTGATAGTGCAATTTTCTTCTGCTTGAGAAAGGGAGAACGATTCTCCTCTATTTAAACGTCCGTGTTATGAAGTTATATTTCTGACTTCACTAAAGAAACTTCACTTATTTCCAAGGAAGAAAAACACATACGAAGTATGCCATTGATACACTTGTGATAACTCAGAGTTCTATAAACCAGTTCTTTTCATATGATCTGAGTCTAATGATAATGGTAATACAACATTCTATTCAGCAATTGTTCCAATTGTCAAAAAAAGAAAGAACCGGTTACTATAATGCAATGCCCAAAACAGAGCATGTTCATATTAGTGGAAACTTTCACACGTCTAGAATTGGTCTATTTGTATATTTCAGCTTCTTTGAAAATAACCATATAAGTGGTATCAATTCAGTTACTCAATCGCGAACTGTCATAGATCTGGTCGTCTAAGAGAATAATAAGAACAAAATCAAAACAAACTTTATACATGATACTATATTCATATACATAGAACAACTTTTGGAAACTATTCAATTTAAATGTTAAAATTTGTGACTAATAAGTAAAACTATCCATTGTAGCTCTTTGATACCAAGTTCGTTGGAAAAACCAGTGTTCAATGTTTGAAAATTCAAAATTTTAGAACCATTGACTTTTACACCAACAAGTTCTGCAATCTTGCTCTATATGTATCCATAGAGTATCATTTATAAAGTTGGTGGTGATTTCTTGTTATTATTTTCTTACATGATAACTGAATATTATTTATGAAACGCTTTATACGTTAGTTTATGTACTTGACATTAGGTGAGATTTCTTTATTGAGGACAAAAATAAAACTTAATAGTAGTATTCATTTTCGTTATCCGTATGAAAAAAGAAATTTAAATAAACTTCTACGACTAACTAAAAACTCAGTTCATAAGAGCGAACCTAAGGGAAGATATTTCAAATTTTCATTGTAGTGCTATTTATAGCCCATCTTATGTATTGTTACCCGTAAGAATATAAAATAAGTTCACAGATTTTTTATTTAATGATTTTGAAAGAAAATTTTATGATCAAATCGATATTTTACAAAGGTTTTCATGAAAAACTTCTAATATGTAGAATAGTATCTGAGCTTCCGTCATTAAAATCTTTTTAGTTCTTCTTTACGTCTGCAACACAAACAATATAACTAGTAAAAGCCAGTCAACATGTATCGAAGATATGCCCACATTCTGCGTATGAATTTTTTTTCAAAATCTTCTGAGGAGCAAAAATTTGTTTTTCAACACCAAACATGAGTTCCCAGTTTTCTCGAGATTATGTCTCAGATTTCTCAGGTATTTTACATAGTATTAAGTTTGGAAAAATTTTAGATTGAAGAGAAAACTACACTCAACTATTTGCCAGAGCACAGTTTTTCATTTTCGATTGAGTTTTTAAGAAAAAGCAATCTTTTTTTTTTTTTTTATAGAAGTATTATGAATTTTCCTAGTATCTTTTTTAAAAAAACTAACATGAAAAGCAAACAAAGGATATTGTTTACAAATTAAGCTCAGATAAACTGTACCGGCAAATGTTGACTGCATTTTAATGTCAATCTAACTTTCGCATCATTAGTTTTAGTGGAGAAATCTTGGGACAAGCAAATATCTACTTTTCGTGTCTTGCTATTAGAGTAACTCGTTTGAACAGCTCAATATTTTGAGCTGAAATTCTCATTTTGATTTTCTAGATTTGGGCACATATTTCTTGAAAATTTGAGATATATAGATTGTTCGATGGCAAAAATAGATTTCTGACTGGAGAACGACTGACTTAGTTTACAATTCTTATTTGATTACGAAAGTATTCTATTCATTTATAGAAAAACTTTCGTTTTTTTTAATATAATAACGTATCATTAATTATCAAAATCTTTACCATAGAAAATTTTTCTCGTTTTGATTTGCATACGTACATTAAATGGAAAAAAAGCAATTTTTTCTTTGTGTTTTGATTCATATTTTAAGAATCAGACTTGAGAACGGGCAATGTATGGTAAACATTAAGAATTTGATTTGAACGAAAAGAAAAAGTGTTTTATGTATTTGACTAGATGAAATGATGTTAAACATACCACAACAGTAACATGAAAACATATAAAAGACAGCATACAAAACATTCTTATTTAAAGAGTTTTTCGTTTGTCATTTTATTCGAAAATCAACAGTAAAAGAAAAAAAAAGGAATAAATCAACGAAATTTGTAATGTCTTCAAATCATCAGGAAGAAGAAACTAATATAGATTTGGTTTTTAACAATCGAAATAGATTAATAGTAAATGATTATTCAACACAATCAAATTTTTATGTTGAACAAAAATTTGACGATGATCAAATATATAATGATGTTGGTGAAGTTTTTACTGACCTTCAATCCTGTTCAATTCCAGCTGATACAGATTCACGTAAGAATATAAAATTGAAAATATTTATCTATCTCTATTGATTATAGAGTCTTCAGAATACAATTCATCAGATCTCGATGATGATGATGATGACAAACAATCAGTAAATGTTTATTTTTCACCATTAACAACAGAGAATACTAATAAATCAAATGAAGATTTTACTTTATCAAAAAATAAGAATCAAGTTAATGATAAGACCGATGAAAAAACAATTACTGTAAGTTGAAAACAATTTATTTCTTAACTGAATGATTTTCGAAGAAATAAAAAATTCTCTTCATTTTTTTCAAGTGAGAAAAATTACAGCACGTAATCATTTTCTTATTAGTCTAAGACAATGTAATATATTTTTCTTTTGTTTAGAATTCTCGTTTGAATGAATTGGATCTTTCAGAATCATCCAATGACATAATAAATTTAATTAATAAAGATTTATCTAGATTTGTTTTTATATCTGTTTCTAAACATATTAGCAATTATATTCAATGTCGTCTTATACGTAATAAATCTATTTTATCTCAAACATTTTATTTAGAAGTCGAATATTCAGACAATGGAGAATCAGTTTGTATTTAAGTTGTTTTCTCTATGGAAAAAAAGTAAATTTATTCCTATTTAGATTTGTCTACTAATGGCTGAAAAACAATTTAAAATCAGTGGTCAATCTCATTATATAATATCAGTAATTTCAAAATATCCCGACAATTTCAATTCAGCAGAATTAATTAGTGATGATTTAACTGGAACTAGATATGTGTTAAACCTTTTAAATGAAGATAAACGTCAACAATTGGCTGTTATTCTCTATGTATGAAAATTTTATTACATGTATATTGTCTTAATGAATAATTTATTTTTATCTAGGAAACCAATTTTCTTGGTACTAAAGGTCCAAGAAAGATTGAAGTTCTCTTACCTAAATTCAATGATCAAATGCAAGATTTCATTGTAAATATTGAATGTATTATAATAATATATGAAAGATTTCGTTTTTTAAATATTTCTAGGAAGCAAGCGATTTTGATGAATATGATTCAAAAGAGCAAAGCAATTGTTTTATTCATTTACACAATAAACCACCAAATTGGGATTCATGTAGGATATATTATTCAAATTAGAAAAATGACTTTTTGGTACCTTTTTTTTTTAATAGATAAATCTTGTTATACATTAAATTTTAGTGGAAAAGATCGTGCTGTAATACCATCGATTAAAAATTTTCAAATGATACTCAAAAATGAAGAAAGTAAATATTTTCTATAGGTTGAAGCTAAAATTTATTGATAAAATAATTATTCTTGTCGTTTCTGTAGATGTGGAACAAATCGTAATGGAATTCGGTCGAATGCTCGACAATGAATTTTCTTGTGATTTTCGATATCCTCTTTCACTTATTCAAGCGTTTGCTATCGCTCTTAGTGCTCTAGAATCGCGATGGTTTCGAGAATGAATATTTATCTATATGTGAATTTTATTATTATATAAGAATTATTTTATGATGTTTCATGAAAATGTATTAATTTAAAGAAATAAAATTTCGTTTTTTAAGTTCGACAGAAGAAAAAATATTTCTATCTTACAGCTACCTTACGGCAAGAAATGCTACCTAGCGGGTAGGTTCAATAGTTCGATATCATCCATATACCTATAACTAATTATAGCTTTGAACAGAAGACTAGCATGATATAAAGTTCTTGTGTTCATTGCTTGAGATCCCAATACATACTAACTAATCACATATTAATCAGAAGTAGAGGTGCATGCCACAACGTGGTCACAGTATGCTATCGAACCGGTGACCTGAAACAAATAACTACTACTGACTTGCTCAGGAGGATTTCATAACTGGCGCTGCTACTGAGACTGTTTAAGCTCAACAATTAAAAGCAATTATGCCTGATCAGAAAAAATTCGCCATGTTTAAATTTCTTCTACACTTATCGGATGTGTGTATGGATATCTTACTGTCGATATGAATGTGCTTTTCTCTTCCATTATACACTAATATACCCACATACCCCACCGACATTATTGATCTGAGTATAACTGACGTTTTACTTAGTATGAGAAGTATAAACGTTGGCTTTGTGAGTCATGGATGGTATTTTTGAAACAAAAAATGTAGAGAACTTAAAAAAAATTTTATTCATGTGCTAGGATATCATCGTGCAGATTCTTTAACCAAAACTCATAATTTTTTTTTCTATATTTTTGGTCGAAACATTACCATTTATGACTACCTAATACTATATATATTTATGATTTTCACTGACAGATAGATATAGTTCCTAATTAAAAAACTATTCTTTTAATTATAAGAAAGAAGTCATTGAAAGAGTTTGAATTATTAAATTTTTAAAATAAACCAATTTCTATATAATTAAACATCAATAATTGTACAGCTTCAAAATGTTGAATCAACCTCTAATTTTGAATAATAATATTTTAGAAACATAATAGATTAATATTAAAATTGATTATTGTTAGTTTAAAAGACAATCTTTACAGGCAATATTCCAATGTTTATACTCATTTATTATTTATTGATCAAGAATTTTGAATATGATTTATTTCAAAAACAAAATGATATTCATCAACATCATTTTCGTTCGTTCAGTTTAACAAGAATATTGACAATTGGTTCGCCTTTATAACTTGCAAGTGGACATGATAAATCATCACCTTTCTTCTTCCATAACCAAGTTCCTGGATCAAGAATTGACATTTCTTTTCCATTCATTTTTTTAACATAGATATGACGTGTTGCTGGATTAGTTGTTTGTATAAATGCATATTGAAATCCTTTTGTGTCTCGTGCATGATCACATATACGAGTACGTAATTGAACAGCTAAATTTTTGCCCGCGTATTTCGATTGTGTTGCACCAGCTGAAATACATAAAACCATATTCGGTTGTAATTTTTGGTCAAAATCATGATGAACAAATCGATCACGCATTTCTTCAAATAAATCTACCATTGGATCACTAGATGCAGGACTAGAAGCATCATATGGATGTTTTTCACATAGTAAGAATAGATCATTGGCTATGGTTGCTGCAATAATTTCATTTGTTGGACGATGTCGTATAAGAAATGATAATTTTTCATCAAGTACATCGATCATTAATGGCCAAAGCCATTTATCAAATAGATGTTCAGCTGTTACCTGATTAAAAGTCGACAAAGGATTGTGGGAAGCAAATTCTTCTGCTATTAATTTAGCACATAAACGCGCATCTGTTTCATTGTCGATGAGAGCGATTTCATATTCGTCGTCACTGGCCATGTGACACAAGTAAAAACAAGAATGGGTATAAAGGAGGCGTAAACACACGTATTTATGTATAAGATAGTGTTTTTCTCGTTCTGTTGATGTCTTTGTGCTCCTACACAAATAATCATTCATTGTTACATTCAATTGTGAGCTTATATTATTCAAATATCAATATAAGAAACTGATTGAAATAAGTTTAATTACTCGTTTTTTCCAATTACTTAGTTATAGAGAAAGTTAAATATTGTCACGGATAGATCACATTCTTTAGAAAAAAAAATCAGCCATGAGCCATTGTACCAAGATGTCAGGATATGTTGACAGTATGGTTCTAAAAATATTTTTCAACGATTGTCTTCTTTCTTTTTTTTTACAGGATATCATCTGTTTCTTTGTTATGGAACGCTTGTATGATAACGGAAATAAACTCGTTTACTATAACGCGACGTATTGAGCAAAAATGTATAGAAACTAAGAATTGTTGGCAAAACTACATAAACTATGACTTTTTAAAGAAATTTGACAGAAGATCTTCTCTTTCATTGTAAGCTATAATCGATACTATAGCAAAGAAGAGCACCTGAGTCTTCTAATGTGTTGAGAACTTGAATGACAATCTTTTATTAGTTATGATTTTGTCCAATTAAAACGAATAAAAAAAAATTAATTAATTTCTCATTTTCTACTAGGATAGATATTCCTCTGTATATTTTAATGCTTACATTTCATGCTTTAAAAAAAAAGCGAATTCTTTTTTTTATTGAAACTTTAGAAAAACCATAACAGACAATCGACTTGTCTTTTTTAAGCGTTCTGCCTGATCTGCGACAGGCTTGATGACTTGTTTGCATCTTTGATAATCTTACACAAAATATTTATGCATTATCAAAATGAATTTATATCTGAGATATATGATTGTTCGATTTATTTTAAGCTGGTTTCCATGTTGATGTACCGTAATGAGGATCTTCAACAAATGCACGTGGTTGATCAATATGTTCACATGGCATACAACCAGGTGAATCTGCTGTTTGTTGTCTGCAACATACCCATTGATCTTCGAGAAGACCTCCACCACCACCGAGAAAGTAAGCTGAATGTTTTTTGCATCCATCTTTTGAATAATCATCATATTGTTGTCCACATCGTGTACATGTTTTGTAACGTGCTACACCGGTTTTTGCACTTAATGCATCTCGTGCATCATCAAGAAGTGAACGTAATTCAAAAAGTTCAGCTGAACAATCATCAACAGGATCAGGTGGTTGAACTTGAGCAAGGTTGCGTACAGCTTGAACGATAACATCAATCTAAATACAACAAAAAAAAATTATTAAATATAATTTAAAAAATAAATTTGCTGATATACCATTGGAACTCCATTGATTGGTTGTTCTAAAACATTATAAGAATAAACATCGTATTGAGGAAAGCCTTGTATGGCTTCTAACATCCATTGTTCCATTAATATATTAGGTTCTGTACGAAGAATAACGAAAGCTTTTCCACGATAAACAGCATATCGAAATTCGAGTTGACAATTCGTCGATTCAATGTATTCTTTCGATAGAAAGACAAGCATTACTTTAGCGCATTCCACACCTAACAAAAAAAAAAAAAGATTATCGATTGATCATATATTAACGATTAATGAATAGACAAACCTGTAGCCATTGCATCATTAGTACTACCTTGCATTGCACCCCAAATATCAAACCAAGTTTGTACATTACGCATATGAAAATCTTCATAGATTTCACGGACAAGATCTTGTTTATTCCATTGATAACTATAATTTTAGTTTAAGAATTTTAAAAATTAAAATTTGATAAAAATTCATTTGATATACCTTATCATGCAATCAAGAGGTCGTCGTTTTGGCAAACCATATTGATCGACAATGGATGGAGGTGCTCTAAAAGTCATGCGTGTAATTGAATGATGTGTATGATCAAAATATGCGTCGGCATGTGGCTCTTGCAATTGAATACGAACAGGTTGTCGAGCTTTCATCGAATCAATAACACGAGATTTGCGTTTTGGTGGCCATCTTGATAGTTTGCTTTTACATTCTTCAAGTTCTTTTTGAAGTGCATTCTTCTCGATTTTTTCACGTTCAGTTTCACTGGGAACTGGTTGACATGCAGTCTGTTAAATAGAAATCATAGATTAATATAATAGAGTTGTGGAGTTTATTTCAATAGTTCATCTTTTCAAAGAAACGGAAAGTACTTGAAACTGAAATGGAATTTACTTTTTTTTTTTTTTACAATTTGTTGCTTAATTTAAAAGACATAATAAATAAATTCTTTTAGTTGTATATTACCCTTGTTCATCATTAGACAACATTTTCTTAACATAAATATTCCAAATAATTTACAAAAGATTGATATACATAAAAATATATTGCGGACCATTTTGTTTTTCAATGCTCAGTCTAATCGAGTCATTTATAGAATGAAAGATCATGAGTTCTTAATCATTCTGATGTTAAACTCAAAGTATTTGAATTCAATTATAGGTGTATAAACAGGATTTATCTCCATAACATACTAAATGAACAGATAATTATTGGTTCTTAGCTCAATCATGTGAGCATTCGTTTAACAAAAAAACAAATAGTAGTGAAGTATGATTTAAAGTTATTCTGATAGGATTTTATTTAGGGTATATTTTCATAGTAGTAAATTTATTTGAAATAATGTTTTGAATATATTAGACCATATACAAATCTCCTATTACTAACATATTAAGTTTAAAATATCATGTGCATTTCATTGATCATTTATTTATTGCATTAATTAAAGTTTCTCTACGCTTAGTTCACTTCATGATGAATAGAGCTTTTCAATCGCTATCAAATCAACTATTGTGTACGGTCTAAAAAAATGGACAACATAACAAAATATGAAGTCTATTTAGTGAAACTTAGTTTTTAGCTTTTTCAACTGATATGTGATTGTTCTCAAGACAAACGAATAATATCTATTTCTATTCAAACAAGTATTATATTTAGAATCAACATTCAAAACTAAGTGGACTTATGCATATTGTAAACTTTTTCTGCGACTTTTTTTTCTGATCAAATTTACACCTTTGACACTTCCTCTGGGATATGTGGAAAAATGAATGCACGCAAAAAGGCATTGTAGGAATGGAAAACAAGTTCTAAACTCGTAAAATGCTATTTGAATACAAAAAGAGAAGTAATTAAGCAATAAAGTAATCATTATTCTCTTTGAAAATCATCAGATATCAATGGAAAAATCGAAAAATTGAGCCTCATGAATAATGAACTAAGGATCAATGACTAACTGTTCATTTAGTATGTCGTCAACATAAAGCCTGTTTGTATACGTATAATGGACTCAAAATGATTAGAACATAATGATATTTCATTCTATATGTGACTTAATTAGATCCAATCTTGAAAACCGCAAGGAGCTATAATGCGTTCTTGTGTGCTCTAATCCCTTACAGATCTATGCGAATCGTAGCCATTCGGTATACATATATGAGTGATTTAAAACATATACAAATAGTCATTTAATTGACTAAATACTCAACTGATTCTGATCTAGATGATTGTTTTTTTTTCTTATAAACAACATTTGAATGGTATAAAGTATATAAATTTGTATACCTCTATTGCAACTCGTAAATCAGTAATACAATTGCTATCATAGAAAGGTTTGTAAGCAGTTTCTTGATCGAAAATACGAAAAAAGACACGTCCGGCAATAATCAATCCAAGCCAACCTTCAGGACGCCACTTTTTAATCGCTATTACTGGTATGATTGGTTTAGAAAGAAGACGAGCTTGTTCAAATGCTGCTCGACAGAGAGACGTTTGTTCTAATTGAGGTGTAAGAATTGGTACAAATACAGTGCATTTAGCTACGCTACAAGTAGCATTTGGCTTTAATAAATTCTCAACAATTACAGATGATTGTGTAGATGTAAGAGATTCATAGACCAGTTGACCGACAACATTACCATCGTCTGTAGTACATATAAGCACAGTACAAGTAGATGAACCTTGAGGAAATGTAGAAATTGTATGATTATCATTCATCTAGATACGATAAAATAATCATTGTTTTAAACAATCACATTATAATATCTATACCTCTGATAGATCCATAACTTTTGCAGCATTTTTGTTATTGGCCACCACATTTCGAGCGCTATTAGTAATTTCTGACACAGCATGTATGAAGGAAGTATCATTATTTAGTACGATCGATCGAATAGCACTTGCTGATATTGCGCCTAATGCACCATACGGTCGAAAAGTAGTCTCAGCCAAAATAGAAATAATTGGTTTATGTAGATCTTTGGCATAATTAAGAACTTCCATACAAAACGGAGTTCTTTGATAAAGTCGACTAATGACAACAATAAATACATCACACCATTGAATGACATTAGCTCGAGCACTTAATGATTGTGGTGTATTTTCATTTAATAGATAGCACGATAAATCTTGATCAACTAATCCTTGTCTTAATCGTTCGCTGATCGTTTGTTGAGTCGTATGACTTGCAATTAGAATCTTAGTTGTATTTGTAGTAGGAACTAGATGATCACAATGAAAAAAAAACATAACAAATGTATTTCGAAGATGAATTTCAAATGAAATAGATTACTGTTAGTGACGTGTGAAGTATTGGCATTTGTCATTTTTGTATTAGGTGATGTAGCAAAAGAAAAGGCATGTGTCGGTGATGTAGCAACGTCATTATTTGACGCTCCGCAACCCATGGAGAACTTTTTTATTTAATGAAGATGAAAGAAGGACGAAGAATGAATAGAAAAGAAAAGAATTTAAAAAGAAAAACTTTTCTTTCCTTTCTTTTTCTTTGCCTTGCTGTTTTTTTTTGTGTTTGCTTATTTTATTTGTAGAATCAAAATCTATGAGAGCATTTATTTGTCATATTGGTGCTTTTGGTTTTTTTTTTATTAAGTTTGTATTCATTAATCATCAGTTGCTAGACCTAAAATTCAATGAAAATTTTTCAACAGTTTTTTGGTTAGAGTGTTTTTTAAGATTTTATGATAAATTTCAGTAATTTAGTTATAACCATGTATCGATGTATGCTCAACAATTTATTTTAATAAACCGCTGCTTCAAAATTGTTTCATCCTGTAGTGACGAAATCTGTAAATTTATATTTTCAAAATTTGAATAACGAGCAAAGCAGATATTTATTTAAAAGTAAGAATTATAATCACTGATAATTTTCAAAGCATATCATCTTAAAAGTAAAATTTTAATTTATTTATTCTAAAAATAAGTCCATCGCGCCAAAAAGTTCAATTTAAGAAAATTATTTACGACAGAAAACAAATAATAACCTCACAATTATATCTACTTATAGATATTATCAAAAATGTATTCAATAGGAGAAAAAAACATGATTGGTAGAAAATCCAGTAAATATAATAGTCATAATCAAAAGTAAATTATCAATTCTAATTATAGATTAATAGAGATGACAAATTCTTTGTACCATTTATTTTTTTTCATTTTCCTTCCTTTGTTACTTATTTGCAATACACGTGCAATAACATCTTGTAAATAATCCGTATGAGTAAGATATTTGCTTCTTTACCAAACTAATGAATACTATCGGTTCAAATTTGTTTTCTCTATGCATTGCGGTCACATAGATCGTAAGTTATCTACGTTTAAATCACTGGTCTATATTCTCCATGTTTGTCTGTAACCATTTGTATTGTCACAAAAATAGTCATAATAAGGTACTTCATCGTTGCTACTGGTAAGTAGATTTGTAGCCATTGGGTCTTGTTCCTCGACTGTGATATATATATATATAGATTATTCGGTTCAATTGTAGTCAAACCATTATAATTATCATCGCTAGAGTTATGTCATTGCTTATGGAAGTTATCAGGATCTCATAAAAAAATTATAAATTTTGGTGTGATTCATTTGGAAGAAAGAATAGATTTGAAGATATAAGCTTAGTAGTCATGATGGAATATAAAATTGAACTGGGTTGAATTAATGAAAAGTATTTTCATTAAAAAGAGATATGCATGAAACATTATATGATTCTATGCCATATCCGTAATGATCAACTTATTCAAACACATCATGTACTCCCACATGATTTCTAATCTAGATTGAATATCCATGAATATGAAATTTAATATTGCCAATATGTTTTCTTATGATTGAGTGTCCGATTCTATTAATCCTATTAAAAGGAGAGAATCTTGTTGACGACTATCTAGAAGTTCAAACCAACACTATCCATCATTATCACTTCATATGAATGTTTCACTTGTATGAACATAAAAAAGAATACAACTTTGTTTTTGAATAAATTGTGAATATGAGAGAAAAAAAAGACATAATACTACTGTAAATATTGCCATTTTCGAAAGTTTGAAAGACTTTAAACAAAATTTGAAGGAGTCGAATAGGACTCCAAATGTTTAAAAGATGATGAGAACGACAAAAAGAATTATTTATTTCATTTCAATAAAGCAGAAACATGATCTTAATCATCAAATAATTCTATAGTGGAATCTTTTTCAATCGATAAATTCGCATTGAATTCAGTGAGTTTCATTTTTTTTTCTATTTCAAATAGAATAGCTCACTATTTCATTCTCATAGAACTTCTTTTTAATAGTTTATTGATAAATATTCTTATTTTCAACATGCACGGCAATAATTGGCAAAATGAACTTATAAAAAATAACTCTAATACAAAGATCAAAATTTGTCAACTTGAAAAACTTCATCTATGATGATTTGAAGAATATGTTAATAATGAATATATAGTAAAATAATCAAATTTTATGTGCGAAGAAACCTTACCGCATCAAGTATAATAAGTTTCCGGAGTAGCGAACGTTGAATAGATTTTTTTCATATAAAATATTGAAAACCAAGAAAATTTGTGTTGTTATTAACTAAATAGTTTTTATTAGTATGTTTAATTCAGAAATAATGAGATTTTTCAAGAAGGAACATTATATTATTTTGCTTAGAAAGAAATACACTAAAACTTGTTTGAATAAACAGATGTTTTGCGTTAAGAATATGTGTCTACATGAACATATCGGTTGAAACATACTCAACATGTCAATGAATTATGAATAAACAAATAAAAGAAGCATGAGCCTAGTCTAAGAATATAATAAAAAAAGAAAATTATTTTTAGCCTACTCTATTCATGCCTACACTCAATCTTCGAATGACTTCCTTTGGTTTTGAAGAGGAAAAGTGATGTGAAGTATTAAATAAGTATTTGTGCAATGTTTACGAAATTTTCTTAAATACAAATCCTAGTATTTTTTTTTTCATTAAAATGGAAACAATTCTGAATCTCCAATGTATTTTTTTCCAATTTGTCGGTACAAAAGAGTTAACTAATACGATTATAATTATCCATGAATATTGAATACATCTCGCATTGTAGACAATGTCTCCTTTTAGAACACACTGATTCAGCCATTTCCAAAAATTTATTCAAGTATTTCAAATAATTCAAAATCACTTTCAAATCTATGAATATTTATTGCAACTAAATAACTCTCTAATGTTTGTCTTCATTTTAAAATCGGAATTATTCTTACAATGAACAGGATCTTAATGACTTTAGTTTCTTTTTCGACTCTGCTGATATGTACAACTATGATGCATTTTGCTATAGTATGAATTACAACCTCGACAAGTGAACAAATGATGATAATCATATTAAGAACAGCAATATCATCTATTCATCATACTTTTGCTGTTATGATTTTCTAAACTAGTTAAACATTCAAGATAATAATGATTAAACTTTCTTTCTTACTCTTTGATAGCAACAACCAAAAAACCATAGAGAAAAAACCATTTTCAGAATAATTATACAGAAAAGGATTAATTTATTACAATCTTTATGTCAATTTTATTGTCAAACAGTATGCTTTTATTATAGAAATAGAGAATGAACAAGGCATAGTCACGCTTGAATATAATATAAACATAGATAAATGTTCAATAATACATTTTCAATTGTATATCAAATTATGTTTTGATTTTATTTTTGATTGAACGAATATTCTCTTCGGCCACTTTAACGTGCAAATGACTAGGTGGTAAAATTTTACGCCAAATCTCGACTGCGTTTTCGTAATATTTTAGTGCTTCTGAATAACTTCCTTTATATTCATGCAATACTCCCAGATTATTGTAGATTGAAGCAATATCTGGATGATCGTGAGGTAACAGTTTTTGTCGAATGTTGAGAGCTTTTGAAAAATAATCTTGACTCAAATCATATTCTTTCGTATGTCGATATGCAACCGCTATGTGATGATAAGTTGTAGCAAGAGACAAATAATCAGGCACTGGTACTACCTCTTGAATTTGAACAGCCTTCTTTAGATTGGACAACGCTTGATCATAATCTGATCGCAGGAAACAGTAGAGCCCTCCAATAAAAGTATAGCATTCTCCAACATCTGCATGATCCTGTCCCAAAAGACTTTGTCTTATACGTAAGGCTTCTTCCAAATGTTTAACACTTTCATCAGCTTCCTTGCATTGCATACAAATTTTACCTAAGCCTAATGATGCATTTCCACAAACAAGTTGACCTTCATCCAACATTCTTTTATAGCATTTCCTAGCTTGTTCGTATTCACCCATCTCTAATAGAATTTTTCCTAGAGAACCCAAATC